GGGGAGGGCCGCGCGGAGACTTTGCGAGCTCTGGATGCCGGTGGCCGCCTCCTGGGAGGCCTCCTGGGGGGCACGGCCCACCCGGCGTCTAGTTTCGGTGACCGGGGGCCGGCCTAACTTCAGGAGGAGATGCCGGGAGGTGTGCGGGCCGGGCGGCCCCGGGCGGTGGAGCTGGCCCTGGCAGGCGCTCTGCGCCGCAGACGCCCTCCGAGTCCCCCGCACGCATTCCGCGCTGCGTCCTGTGCTGTCTGTCCTGGTTTTCCAGACGCCAGCCCCTTCCGACTTCTCCCACGGCTGCCCTTTTGCCAGTGGGTATTCAACGCCAAGCAGAATGACCTTCCTTCCAGTCTGCTGCCCTGAGAGTCCTTAATTCGAAACCATCCGCGCTGGGAAGGGAAGTTGGAAGGGACCTGTCCTAAACAGAGACGCGTTTTAGCCTGCACCCGTGTGGATTAGATGAATGAGTTTATAATGTTCACATTCTTGTGATGAGATGTCAGACTGTTCACTTCACCCAGACTGTGTATGAACTATTTGGATGTCAACTCTGTTGTGAGACAATGTTTTGATATGTATCAGAGGATGATATTCCCATGGGACAATAACTTCCTGTGTTCCACGGTAGATACGGTTCACGTTGTAGCAAAAGCATAGTGTAAAACGGTGCCTTTGAAACATTCTAATCAATTATACTCGTCCTAAGAAACATCTGCCCGACACTCGAGTTGTACTTCACTTTCGCTTTGACATCTGTCATTTATGAATCGTCTGCACAATTTTAAAGTAAGTTGCTTAAGGAACAGGATCAGGTCATGTAGCAACTGTGGAGGGAAAGCAGCGACTTGAAATGGCAGAAGTCTGGCTTTCTATATTGTTTGTGATGCAAAGCCATCCTGGTTCTATCTTATTTTGCTAATGCAAACGTGATGCATATCCCACTGGAGCCTCTAAAAATATGATGCATTTTTAATACTTTCGTTTGACATGAACTACCTAGACTGTAAGACTCAATCTTGAAATACAATGTATGTGTTCATTTCTATTTGGTAGATTTGACACAGGGTATACCTTTGTAGGATTTACTTCAGATGCTTCAGGTTTATAGATACAGTCCCACTGACAAAGCCTTTTTAAAAAGTATATTTATATGGGGCCATTTATTGCTTATAACAATTCCAATTTTGAAACAAAAAAGGGAACTTCAAAGGACTCATGGAGAAATGAAAGTACGGATTTACCATGGTGCAGAAAATCGTTGACGTGATGTATAATTTTTTTCAAAATACACGTTTTCCTTGAGCTTTTTGGAAGATTCCTCATACTAGTGATAGGCTGTAGAGTCAGCTACACTCTTGCTTCCTGTTTAAACCTCCATGTGTCTGGTTACTTTCAGGTTTACTGTTGCCTTGTTAGTTATGTATAGTTAACTCTGCCGCTGTGGGCTTGCCTGTGTTAGCCTTGTTTCTTGTTTCAGGCATCTGTGTATATTATCTTATGTAGAGAGGGAGCTGCACAATTTCCCTTCAGTGCTCTTCAGTAGAACTTTCTGTGACCAGTGTATGGTAGCATTAGCTGTATATGCTTTTGAGCACTTGAATGGGGCTAGGAATTGAGAGGACTGATTTTTTAATTTAAATAAGCAACTAGGTCCAGTAACTACCCAGTCAGACATCACAGTTTTAAGTTAGTCCTCTAGGAAGCCTTCATTGGCTCCCTCGAATATGTGCTCTTATAGTCATAGTGCTTTTTATTATTGGACAGTCACTGCAGCTGTCTGGTAGGAATCCAACAGTAGGCTGTAATCTACATGGGGACACAGGCATATCTGTTTTATTTACCTTTGCTATGCCTCACTAAGACTTATAAGAACTGCTTAATATATATTTTTTGAATGCATAAATGAACTTCTTGAGGGTAGGCATCTTACCTCTGATAGTCTCTCTAGGGCTTAGTGCCGAGTGTCCTTAAATACCTGTTTAGCGATTGAAGAGATGTTACTTAGATAGCCGATAAAAGGGTCATTGAAGGTAAGCTTTAAATGCTTATTTGGCTAGATTAATTTTTTTTAATCTCGTGGAAATAAAGAATCATGACAAAATACTATAGAAAATTAAATGAAGGGGCCTCATGATTTCAACTGATGCAGACACAACTAGTTCTTCTGATAGTTGAGCAGCTTGAGGATATTGCTCTTGAGCCATATTCCAGTTAATCTGAGGGCATCTTGGCTTTAGTACTGCCTTTTAGTGGGGCCCTGACAGTCCCGAACCACTCTGAAAGAGTTAGTGGTCGTCTCCATTTATCACTGCTCTCTGTTAAGACATGGGCCAGAGATCCTTGAAAAATCACAAGATGTAGAGCCATCCGATAAGATGCTTTTACTTAGAGCTAACTTGGGGTGATGGAGTAGGATGGAATCCCTATAGGGATCAATGTTTGTGGAATTTTGTTCTAGTTATTGTAGCCAGCAAAGGCATCTGTTCTGTTCGTGGTTAATCAAGACTAACTTTTTATGTTTGGCTGTTTCATCTGCCCAGTTATCACTGTTAACCTTTGAAGGATTTGGGATGAAAGTATATAATCCAGATCAGCACATCTCCCCATTAGACCAAGATTCCAGGCATCATAGACCTTCTGATCCAGAAATGCTTTTAGGGAGGCTTCTGAGATGATATGAAAGTTTACAGCGGCGTCTAGTTTTCTTTGGTGGGACAGAGAAGTGGATGTTGGGCTTTTCATGAAGAAAGGATAGGACTTAGAGAAAAATACAGTGAAGGCACAAAATACGAAGAACGTTCACTGCATTAGTAGAAAGTAATGCTCCTCTGGTTGAAGAGCAGCATCCTCCAAATAATAAAGTTGATCGATTGTATCTCATTGTCTGCATTAGCTTTCTACCTTGAATCTCAGCATTTGCACATTTGTTAACTACGTGCAAGAAACCGTTCTGGCTCCCATGGTAAGTAGTAGTTGTGTACCATACAGGTCTTATCCTTAAGGATTTCAGCAGTCCGCAAGGAAGGGAAAGATACCCTGGGGTCACTTTCAACATTTCTTTTCAATGAGAAAAACCCACCCTTCGAAAGAGCAGTCATTTGGTGGCTTCTCTTAACCAGGTCAGAAAGAAAACCACTTCCTCACTTTGTGAAGAATTAAAGATGTGAAAAAACAGGTCCAAGTTCCAATGTGATTAGAGTCAGATTAATTTTCCTAAAATACAGCTTTAACCATACCACTCCCTTTTAGAGAATCAGCAGTTTTCCAGTGCTCATGGTATAAAATGGTTTGTTTTTGATGAAGTATTTAAATACTCCTCAGTAGAGCCTGAAACATGATTACCCTTATGTTTTCAGAGCTATGCACCAAGTTCCCCTTACTGTTTCTTCCAGGTGCTCCCCTTTTCTATTTCTGCCTGTCTGTAGTTCAGGACTCACTGTAGGCAATACCTTGTTCACTGTACCATTTCTGATTCGTAGGAGCTCCCATAGGAAATGCCCTGGAACTTACTGGTAGAATGTATCTCATTTTGTCCTAGTTATTAGTGATAGTAAGCTACCTAATGAGCATGGATCATCTGTACTCATTTTTGCAGTCTCCAAAACATCTAGAACAGTGCCTTATACACTGTAAATACTCACTAAATTTGACTTCTGTCCCTTGACTCGAAAGGGAGCATTAAGCCCTTGTAAAGTATTTGCTGAAAGTTACCACCAAGCAAGTTGAGGCCAGCAAGTAGAAATCCTGAGTTAGGGAGAAGCTAGAGTGTTGGAGGAAGGCTATCTTCGTGGTGTGCCTTACTGTTTGGAATTCATAGTATTTGAGGAAGATCGTCGCTGCTGTGTAACGCCAGTTCCTTGACGTGTCATTATCCTATTGATGTTTTAAGGTTAATGTCAGAACGATTCGAATTACTGGATGGCAAGTAAGTTTAGCATCCTAGAAAATTTGAACACCTTTAAAATAGAAACAACCAGATTAGGTCATTTAATGTATAATATTCAATTTCGTATAAATGTGCACTTGATGAGTAAAAAAGCATCTGATTCTACCAGTTTCTGCTGATCTCGAGAAAACATACGAATCAAATTGGGAAGAAACCATTAGCTCAGAGAGATGGCCATTTCCTTGGAGTGGGAAGGTGATGATAAAAATAATTTGAATATAGGGCCAGCAAGTGGCATGGTGGTTAAGGCACTGGACTCCCAGGTGGCCGGCTGTGGGTCAAGTCCCGAACCCCACTGTTTGAACGTCATGCTGGGTGCGTGTGTGTGTGTATCCAAAGTGTTGGGAGAAGAGATTGTGGTGTGGCCATTCTCCCTGGGGTGGTGGTGGGGGTGATTTCTCACTTTCCCTCTCTCTGTCTTCCTCTGTCTCTCTCTGGCCAGAGCATGTGTCCTATGGCAAAAACTTAAAAAAAATATTAGATACAGAGTTAGTTAACAATAGAGTTGACATTAAGTAATATCTAGTGTGGCATTATCTACTGCTAGATTAAGCTGTCAGTTAACAGTTTTTACTTATCCTATTCTTTCTACTGAACTAATCCAGAATCATTTTTACTAAGGTTTTATATTATGATTTTCTGCATATGTTTAAAAACAGACATAAGAGTCATAATATTTTATACTTTAAAGATCTGCTGCAAAAGAACTGGGCAGATTTTAGCTTCACAATTTAGTTTTACTTAAGCAATTTTTTCTGCTTTCTACGTCATTTCTGAGATACAGGGTAGAGTGTACCATGGGTCTAATTTAGAGCAAATGTATTCTAAGTCTTCACGTCTTCTGGGAAAAAGAGATAAGTGATGTGACTTAAAAGGTATGGCCTTTTAAAAGGTATTCCGCTAGGATAAAAAAACAGACCTTTGTACATTAAGTGGAACAATCTCTGTAAGCCCTTGGATTTGCAGGAATGACATGATTAATTTCCAGTAGAGTTTTTTGTGATGTAAGAAAATAATGGAAACCTTCTAAACTAGATTATTTTTGTGATGAGCATAGGGCCCGAGGTGTTAGATGACAAATACTATAACCTGTGTCAGCACTGTGAGACATTAAGCATCCATCTATAAGAGTTAATAGGCCCTTGTTCGTTACCATGAGTAAGAGGTTGTCACCCTTTAGATTAGTTCAGCATTTTAAAAATGTTTTCAACTATTATAATGTTTTTACTTCTGGGCTTTGTCTAGAGAGATTATATGTACTGCTGACTGTGTAAGAGATAATGTGAAGCAATGTGTATTTTTAACCTGGTACAGTTTGCTGAAAGGAATTTTTTTCTTCTTGTAAAAGATTATTATTATTTTTTTTTTTTGAGAGGTTTTTGCTATAGGTTGCGTGGGCTCGTCAGAGAGAGACAGAGAGACAGAAAGTGAGAAATCACTCCTTGGGGGAATGGCCACACCACAATCCCTTCTCCTCCATTCTCCTCTCGGGATCTTGGGCACACACACACATGCAGCCGGTGTGAGTTTTAAGCCACTGGATCCAGGACTCAAACCGTGGTTGACTACATGGGAGTCAAGTGACATGGCCATTACGCTAACTGCTGGTCCCTTTTCTTGTAAAAGATTTTGAAGATTGAAGTTGAAATGTCAGTGAGTTAGACATTGAAAGAACATTTAGGCTTTTTTTTTTTTTTTTTTTGGTGATTGAAGGCAATCTAAGTTGCATACAAATAAAGTGGAAACTTTTTCTCTTTCTCATTATAGGGGGCTTTCTAGAAGATGACCATAGAGGACCTTCCAGATTTTCCATTAGAAGGAAATCCTTTGATTGGAAGATACCCATTTTTATTTTCGGGCTCTGACACACCAGTAATCTTTTCCATTTCTGCAGCACCAATGCCTTCAGATTGTGGTATGTTAAGTAGCTGTGCTTATTTTCTGTGAACAGTAACTTGACTTCTGTCTTATGACCTTTTTTGTACTCATAGTTTTTCCTAAAATCATTTGCTATGGTTTTTATAAAATTGCTAAATTTTTCCTTTTTCAAAAATACAATTGCTTATTGCTTTTCTGCCTCTTAAGCTAAATGCTTTTATTTCTTCTGTCAGCATTTTTATTATGTGAAAACATTCATTTTAAGCACATGATGGATTTAGAGGATTTTATTTTTAGAATGCACTGGTGCTTAGATATCTACCTTCCTTCTGCTCTAAGTTTTCTCTTAGAGTTCCGGAAATTCTCACCCAGTTCAACAGAATAACTTTAAGGTTATTAGAAACCTGTACTTGTCAAGAGTCTTTTACATAAATCTTGCAGTTTTGAATCATAGCTGCTTGCAAAAGTTTTCAGGAAAGTGCCAGTGTAAAATAATGTGTGTGTATGACAAAAATTTAAAATGGCCATCATTAAAGATTTGATGAGAGCTCATTATAATGTAATTGACAAAGAAATTCAGTTATTTCTGTGATAACTTTTCCAGATACTGAATTTTGACTGATAAAATTATACCAGAATGTAGTAAAATATCTAGGGATTTCATTCAGTTTCTGGAACATATATATTAATAACATACTGCCATTCAGATATAACATAAGCAAGGTTAAGTATCACTTTTATTGGACAATGCTTCCCATGCAATTTAACATAGTAGATCAGCCTAATTAGTTTCAATTTTATTTGACAATGCTTTCCATGCAAATAAGCCTAATTAATTTAACATCTTTCTGGTTTATTAGAAAAGAGAACTTTTTTTTTTTTTTTTGAGACTTTTGGGGCCCTCTGAAAAATCCCAAAGTTAGTCTGAGGTCAAAATTTGATTTTTGAGAGGTTTGTCAAACATATTAGAAGATTCAAACCAATAATATTTTTATTTATCAAAGTTGCTCAAGTCATTTTAACTTCAAAAACATTTGGATTAGTTCATAATTTTCTGTAAGTTTTAGGTATATTTCATTTATATGAGGGGACTTCAAAAAGCTTGTGGAAAAATGGAATTTATAAAGTAAAAGTATAAGTTTTGTTTCTTTCTCCATGTAAATTCTGTCAAGTTCAAGATCCTTTTGTAAGCAGTGATACCAGCCACTTAGTCTTTCCTAAAAGTCTGAAGGTCCTGGGACTTTACCATGTCAATGCAGTCTTTCCTATGTTACTAACTGAAGAAAAATGAGTTCCCTTTAAAGATTTTTTTTTTTTTTTTAAGATACAGAAACAAAAAAGTCAGAGGGAGCCAAATCAGGACTGTAAGGTGGATATCTATGATTCCTGCT